TATGTATAGCTAACAGGGGGCTCCAGGAAGCACACGCACATCTCCAAAGTAGATTTACATACATTTTAAACCATATACATCTTAAATACCATTACTAAATGTCTATTTAATATCTGGTAGGAAAATCTTCAATATGAATTTCATACACGTATGTCTAATAGGTTCTAGATATGATGTAGACATCCGAGTGTGTGTGTTATTGTGTAGTAACGTACAATTCACGGTTGTCAGCACTGTTTGCAATAGATGAATGTAAGTAATGTAAATACATTTTCATAAAGTAACTAAATATAAGTAATCTATTGTATTTGTCCATTAGTACTGTTGAAAAATTGAGGAACATTTGTGTTGGATAAAAAGCTACTTAACACTACTTAATACTTTTGAGCACACAAATCTCAGAGGTGACGGCGGCATTTGTGGGGGAAAAAAGGGAAAACCTGAAACAAAAATATAAAGTAAGATCATTCTGTTACTTCTAATACAGAAATAAAATGACATTATGCTGTTAAAATGACTACTTTTGTATTGTGATTGTGCGTTTTTGCCTGAAATGGTGTGAGCAGTGAGGATAGAGAATCCACAGCAGCATCCTGGAAATGTTCCAGTGCCATGAATGAGACGCTCCATCACTGCACCTCTTACTGTCTCATCTGGGGCCTCATTTATAACCGTTGCGTAAGCACAAAACCAGCCCTGAAAGAGGCGTACACCACGTCCTGCGCAAAAGGTGGGATTTATAAAAAACAAACTTTTGACTAGAAAATTTGCGTGTGCTGTTAAAATGACTGCTTTTGTATTATATTTGTGCAGTTTTGCAGGATCTGAAATGTCTGCAGACTGGTGTGAGCTGTGAAGATGGAGGAGTCAACAGCAGCATCCTAGAAATGGTCCAGTGCCGCGGATGAGACACTCCATCACTCCACCTGCTCTTATTGTCTCATCTGGGCCGGATGCTGCTGTGGTCTCTTCATCCTCAGTGACCCCAGAGCCAGCGAGAGCATCTAGAGAAAGACCAAAAGACACTGAGGATGTGAGTTTGGTCAAGTTTGTCCTGCTGGTTTCTGTTCATACAACATCAGTCAAAGAAACCTGAGTTTCAGAAGCTTTAAAAGCATCATCAAATAATGTCATGAAGCTTCTGAAAGTCAAGTCTCCCATCGACTGATACTGTATGAACAGAAACCAGCAGGACAAACTTAAAAAAAACTTAACTAAAATCTACTTTTGTGTTCATAAAAACAAAACAAACTCAATCATTATTTACTCACCTCACTGTTCAATCCTTGTTTTATGTTTGGATGAACTAACACTTTAAACCCCCCAAATAAGAAATAAGCAGCTTTATTGAGCGTTTGTGCCCAAGACACAAAAAAGGATTTACAAAAATCACATTTATCAGACACTTTTATCCGAAGTGACAGTGCTCTTATTACAGGGACCCCAATCCCCCAGCAGCCACCTGGAGTAAAGAGCCTTGCTGAAGGACACAGCGGTGGTGACGACTGCAGAGATTGAACCAGTAACCTTCTGCTGACCAGTGCAGTGCTTTAGCCCACTACACCACAGAAGTAATGAAGCTATGACAAAAATGAACATGTAATTGTAAACATATGAAATGAAATGCTGACGACATTAATTGTAAAATGTTTTACTCTGTTTAAATGTTTTACAGATAGTCGTGCTCATGGAGAGCAGCACACAAATGTTTGGAGCAGACCGAGTGACAGTCAGATTGTCCCGCACATGTTCTCCTGCTCTTGTTCAGGGTTGTGTAGATCAGGAGCATCATCATGCTCTTCCTCATCCTCTCTGTGCACTCAGGCAATGATAGCCTCGATGCCCCTTTCTCATCCGTGATCAGATTCAGTCTGACTGCAGCAGTGAGGGTCGTGATGGAGGGCAGAGACAGCTGAAGGTGGACACGGTGGTCAGCTGCTTCATCAGAATAAAGCTGCAGAACTGTCTCAGCTGTGTTGAGATGCAGTAGATGTGGGCTCACCGTCTGTAAATACATGATTGTTAGAACAATGTTTGAATAAAGCTTTGTTTCACGTGTCGATGACTTGTATTTATTTATTCTCATGGTTACTTTGATTTATTATATCACTCATTTATTCATGTTTCCTGTTTTCAGTAAATAAAATATAATTGTTTCATTAACTTGTGCATCAATTCATTACTTGACTGAAAATTGAGATGTATTCACCCTGGCTGCGTTTGTCTAGTGTGCAGTCATGCATAGCTATGGCATATGACAAAACAAATGACATTTTGCTAATTATTGGTCAGCATTTATCATTATTATTGTTCAGAAGTGTTGGGGTGGGCTAGCAATGCATTCTGGGGTAATCTTAACTTCTAAGTAGTAATACTTACATTTTTCGAGTGTAAAATTAACTAGATCTTCTAGCAGCTGATCAACGTCTCCTTTGTGCAGATATTACAAACATTGCAAACGCTGAGGAAAACCGTACTATATATATATATATATACACACATACAATAACACCAAACAAAACAAACATTCTTTAAACATTTCAGGGGGTTGCAAGGAGGGGGAAAAAATAATAATAATAAAAAAAAGGTACAAAATCTTACCAGTCTTAAAAGGAAAGAGACTCATACACGGTTTTATACAATTCTCCAAGGGATTGATTATCTTTGGATAAGTGTTTTAAAGATTCTAAGTATTTTTTACATTATTTTTTTAAGCAATTTAAAGAGGGTTTACTGTTATTCCACTTACATTTGTGTGTATGATATTTGAACCATGTGAAAGTTTATATTCAAAGGTATTTTCCTGAAGCTTTGCCACAACTGGGTTTTGGTCCCCTAAACCTGTGGGCCATGAGGATTTGTCACACATTACGCCTAACTTTACCAACAGCTGCACCAACAATTACACCTGCAATTGCACCAATAGCTGCACCAACAGCTGCACCAATACACATACCGATTAATTGACCAACAATCATGTCGACCAAGTGCAAAAACTGACATACGCAAATTAGGCTGATACTTGTTTAAAAATTGTTCAAATTCAGGCTCCTTATGAGCTTCTAACTCTTTCATCTCGTTTGTTACTCTATCAGTCTCCTCTCGTCTTTGTTTCTCCTTTTGTTTTCTCTTTTCTTCCTCTTGTCTGAATCTCTGAGCATCTTCAAACATCTGAATACTGTAATGTCCTCCTCCATTCTGCTTTATCATTGTGTCAATCTTTCAGTAAAATTAGTAATTTGTTGAAAATTATAAATTATAACAATTACAGATAATAGTAATAACAATAATGATAGTAATAATAATAAAATTAAAATAAAGGAAAATATTACAAATGAATACAAAATTAAAAACCGAGTATACTGAGTAGCCTATATTCTGATAACATTCCTGAGAGTATAATCAAAATTTAAGTACAATAATCTTCAGAAGTTAACAGACAAAGGCCTTTGGAGCATTTGATAAGAGCAGAAGAAAATAAGAAGCTGACCAGGAAAGCCAATTGGAATAGTATATACACTAGAGACTTACATCCTCTTACAGCGTCACAAGATGTCTGTGTCTGATCGAAAGACGTCAGCTGAATTTATCCACTATGTCACTACATATGCCTTGCCAAATGTTTTCCACTTAAAGTCAAACCAAGGTCACCTTTTGAGCAGAAACAGCAGATCTTTGCAATTTTCAAATATCACCTTACCAATACCAGCTCTTGGAAAAAGAACACTTAGTACCAAGAAAAGGCTAAAACAAATTTAGCAAAACATCCTTTCATATAAAAATATTTTGCAGAGAATAAGTTTCCAACATCCCACAAAAATATCACTTAAGCGTTACAAGATATACTTTCTTACATGTCAAATAAAGAAAAAACACATTTCATAAAAACAAATTACGTCAGTGGAATATGATGTTAAATTGAAAAATAATATACTGAAAAGAAGTACCAAACAAAAGTGAATAATACTGAGTATATGAGTAACATAAGACAGGAATATGAATATGATAAAGTAATAATAAAAAGAATCAAAGAATAACTCATAATAATAATAAAAAGATCCATAAAGAATAACCCATAATGTATAATATCTGTATGAATATGAAAAAGAAGAAAATATAACAATATTGCAAATTTGCATACACCAGAAAAAAAAAGAAGAATGAAAGAAAAACAAACAAACTGGGGGAACTGTAGACCATGTGAAAGTTTATATGCAAAGGTATTTTCCTGAAGCTTTGCCACAACTGGGTTTTGGTCCGCTAAACCTGTGGGCCATGAGGATTTGTCACACATTATGTATAACTTTACCAACAGCTGCACCAACAAGTGTACCAACAATTACACCTGCATTTGCACCTGCAATTGCACCAACAGCTGCACCAGCAGGGCCACCAACAAGTCCAATAGCTGCACCAACAGCTGCACCAATACACATACCGATTAATTGACCAGAAATCATATGTCGACCAAGTGCAAAAACTGACATACGCAAATTAGGCTGATACTTGGTTAAAAATTTTTCAAATTCAGGCTCCTTATGAGCTTCTAACTCTTTCATCTCATTTGTTACTCTATCAGTCTCCTCTCGTCTTTGTTTCTCCTTTTGTTTTCTCTGTTCTTCCTCTCTCAGTCTCCTCTTTTCTTCCTCTTGTCTGAATCTCAGAGCATCTTCAAACATCTGATTACTGTAATGTCCTCCTCCATTCTGCTTTATCATTGTGTCAATCTTCTGCAACAAATCATTCACCTGCTCTCTGTTGTTCTTGTTTTTATTGTTGAAGACATGATATCTGCCTCCACACTCATCAACTAGATGTCTTAATTGACAGTTCTCCTCAATGAGTTTCTCTATATTTTGTCCTTTCAGCTGATCTCCATGAGTGAAGAGAACTATCGAGTATTTTAACACCTCCTGACCAAATAATATTTCAATAAGGTCAGCGATCTGCTGTTCCTGATCAGTGAATCTCATATTCACAGGAAACACAATGAGAAAAGCATGAGGTCCAGGACTGGATAAATAAACACTTCTTGCTATCTCTATCATTAACTCTTCAGAGTTCATATTTGTGTCAAAGAATCCAGGAGTATCAACTACAGACAGAGATCTGCCTGAAACAATGGCATGAACCTCTGAACATTCACAGGTTACTGAAATCATTTTCATCACAGATTCAAACACTTTCTGTCGCAGTATTGTGTTTCCAGCTGCACTTTTCCCAACACCACTTTTACCAAGAAGAACAATCCTTCTGGATGAGAGACTGGAGACAGGAGCATCTGGTTCATTACGAGTGTTTGGCTGGACAAGGATCCGTCTGAGTCTTCCTCCATCTAATGATTTGTAAAACAGAAAACAGATGCAAGTAGTCATTTACAGGACAATACTTTATAGGAAAAATGTGATGATAAGTGCCCTGATGAAACACAGAGATAATACTAACAACTTCCTTTTTTTAATAAATTTAAAAATGTAATATGACTCCAAGAATCAGGTCATCACTGCATGCTTAATATCAAAATAGTATTCTTGAATATTATTCACTTTGGTTTTCAGAAAAAAAAAGTAATATGTGTAATGACTTAAGACTGTCAATAGATTGCATTATTGTTAGATTGTTTGATTACTTTTAAAGATCATAAAGAAAATAAGAGCTGGTGATGGAGCCCTGCACAGGACTGTTTTCTTAATCCTGCTCCCACCCGCTCCCGCAATTTTTGTGTCCGCTCCCGCAAACATTCTGATATTGTATATAGTTTTCACGCAGGGAGCCACTATGCGGGGTATTTAAATCACTTTTGAATGAGCACTCGCTGTTCACTTTCACTTTTGATTTTGCGATCTCATGCACTCTGTAAAGTAAGCACATCTTACAAGATCAGATATTTGTGAATGAGCTCAGGATCTGTTGAGCAGCAAATTCTCCAGCATGGTCTGTCTGTCAGTAATCTCTCCTTACTCTCCACCCATGATCAGTCAAGCTCGTGTTGGATGAAGGGTTGTCAAGTCCTTGTTATTGCCACGAAATTGGGCTACTTTTAAACTGTTGCCATGGGTTGATTTTCCCCCGTGGGTTAAAGATTTGAAATATTGCATTGAAGGAGGGCCACTGTAGGAAGCCTTTATCTGTGTTTATGATCAATGTACATAACAGTGACTGTAAAATATGTATTTTTGGTATGGAAATGACATTAATTTTGACATTTGGGATATGGTCATTGCGCTACTTTGGGCTGTTTTTGACTGAAATTAGCTACTTTTGTCATGCAGACCTGGCAACCCTAGCATATGTTTTTCAGAAGAACTAAATTATTTCTATAAAAAAACAAAACAGCAGTGGGGGCGGTGACGCAGCGGGCAAGTAATGTAATTGTGTATGACCAAACACAGTGTAAACACCTGTTTATGTAACTCCATAATTATTGGTATGCACCAAACTGTGGGATGGCAGAACCTGTGCTATATATTTTTTTGACTGTCCACTCCTGCCCACAGTAAAGGTAAAAAAAAGTGTCTAATAAGTGGCCTATAAACAACAGACATTATGGGGGAGGGGTCAATTAGGCATGCTTAGGTACAGTGCACATTTGCGTTAGTCTATTATGAACAGCTATCACGATGGAGCGCTATTCAATATCAGGTAAAAGACCGCGAATTTCAGACTTTGTATCTCCGTTACTCTTTCTGTCACCTCATTATCATGTGAGCACAGCTTTACTTGTTTAAAGCGCATGAAAAACTACCTGAGAAGTACCAGCGGAGATTATCGAAACAGTAAGCTAGCAATGTTAGCAATCAACTCAGCAATCAAGTTATATTACTAATAACAGTGGCAAATGAGAAGTTTAATACAACAGAAAAAAGTAAAATTTTGCCTTTTTTCGAAGCTGCTGTATACTAAACACAAGGTGGCTGAATTTGAATGCTATTTAGATAGCTGAAGCTCTCAATTTCTTTCTCAATTTAATTCGTTTTTTAGCACCCCCTCTGAACTGTTAATCCCCCCCATAGCACCCCCAACAAAAAAAAATCCTGGAGCCGCCACTGGATGTGAAACTTCAAAACACATGAAACGTTTTAAATCTAAATCAGAGTTAAACTGAGGTAGCCTAATTGTATTTCAGGCTTCCTATGCTAAACCCTTGACTTAAAAACAAAACAAAATAAAACAATGTAGGTGTTGTAATTTTCTCCAATTAATCTACTATTGTTGCTTTTAATGTGCTTTTTAAAAAAAAAACACACTCACCCTTTACACCTAAAGACCTTTGGAGAATGTTTACCAGCAGTAATCTAGCCTGGTCACCTTTCTTCTTGTTGTTGAACACATGGTATCTCTGATCATATTTCTGAATCAGATTATTCAGTGCTTCAGTCTCATTGATGAATTCATTTATGGTCTTGTTATCATCTTGTAATTCATCTCCTCTGGTGAAGAGAATCCAAATTTTATTCAGGTGTTTTTGTTCCAGAAGCTTCTCAATCTTCTCCACAGTTTTTCTCTCTTCTTCAGTAAAATTATCAGCTTTGATGACCAGCAGAAACACACAGAGACCAGATTCACATTTCTGAAGAACCTTTTCCAGTATCTGCTGAATCTCTTCTTCACTTATCTTTGGGTCATGGAATCCAGGTGTGTCATAAACAGTGACTGGAAACCCATTAACAGTCCCAGATTTAAAAGCTACTTCTCGAGTGACTGATTTGGAGCTTTTCTTTATGAAAGCTTTTTGTCCCAGTATTGTGTTTCCTGATGCACTCTTCCCAGCCCGTTTTTTCCCCAGTAAAATCAAGTTTAAGTGTGCATTTGGTTCCATTTCTGATGTGTAACCTAAAAACCACATAATAAAAATATTTAATATAAAAGAAACATGTAACAACATTTGAAATAAACATCAGAGAAATCAAATGAATTCTTACCACTTTGTTGTTCACGGTTTTCCAGCTCTATTCTCCTTATTGATACAGTTTTGAACATCTCTTCAGTGTAGCTCTGCTGTTGATTCTCATTAAACATACGCTCAATCTTCTTCATCAGTTCTCTCATCTCTGATTGGTTGTTCATCTTCTCGTTGCAGATCTGATATCTTTCTCCACATTTCTCCAGCAGCTGCTCCAGAACAGGGTTTTTCTCCAGATCATCAATGTCAGACTTATCTTCTGTCTCATAGGTGAGGAGAATCATCACAAACTGAAGAACTCTGTCACCAAACACTCTCTGAAGCCAATCGAGACCCATCTTATCATCATTGGTTAAGTGACCCAGTCGCACAACAAAGATGAATGAGTGGATTTCATTTTCATTCACTAGTTGACCAATGAGATTATCCACATGTTCAGTCTCATGTAAATCAATCATGTTGATCACAGAGATGTGACGTTCTGATATCTTCTTTTGTAAAGGAACAATTCTAGATATTTGTGCATTTTCTATATTCAGCTGTTTTTCTCCAAGTAGAGAGTTTTCATTTCCATACTGAACTGATGAAGAGTATCCAAATAACACAATGGCCATACTGGGAAACATGTTGTCTAGAATAGATACATAGAATAGTTTTTAAACACATAAATACACTGTAATGTAATTCTTTCTACAACCATGTTGTTGTGTTACCCATGCTGCTGTCTGATGAATCAGAGTCACACTGTTCAGTCTTTATAGACAGATCCATATTGTAATCTATAAATAAATAAACAAATAAAAATAAATACGTAGTTAAAATGAAAACAACTAAGAAATCATATGTCCCAACCTTTTCTGATTTGGGGCTGTATTTGTATATTATAATTGATATATTTAAAATAAAAGTAAAAGTTTTGACTGGTAAAAAATTTAAATGAAAGATTTATGACCAGTACATGGTCATATCTGGCGTGTTGTGCACAGACGGGCGATTCCGGCTTTGCCGCTCCTGGCCCATATTGATCATTTGAATGCTAAAAGCTAATTAAATCACTCCAACTTTGATTAAAAAATCAATTGACTCATGTAGATTAACAAAAATAAGGGCTGTATTTTAAATACGAAATCTAAAGAAGTTACGTTAACTCTTTCCCCGCCGAACACAGAATTTTCCGTTATTCATTAGACAATGCTTCCCTGCCAAACACAGAATTTTCCGGGTTTATCCAAGTAGCGCATTCTCACTGTTATACGCTAGGGGGCGCTCTTGAAAGTGCCGCTCAAAAACACAGACCAGGAAGACGCAGATACGAGCATTCCCTTTCAGTCTGTCACGTTCGACGTTACGTCAGAATAGACTGACGAATGGGGTCTCGCCCGAGAGCCCAATCCCCTTCGAGTGGTAACAGAACGAGCCAATGGTACGCTGAGTACCTTGGTCTGCAGAATTTGCATTGTGAGCTGTGTGGGTATATAAGCAGCAGCGTGAGCAACTCGCATTCAAGCTTTCGCTTCGGAGCCAAGCACATCTTTCTGCTGGGATCAGCTCCTGTATTCCCCTGAGTGCTTCAGCACCTCTGAAAGAGCTTATTTTCCTCCGAAAGAGATATACGAGTTGTGTCTGCGTCTTTTTAAAGCTGTTATGTTACATTCATACACATTATATGATATTATTGATATTCGGCTGTCTTTCCCAATTAAACTCTTTTCGGCTGTTATGTTTTGAGCCCAAACTAACTCAGTTAGACATAGATATATGCCCTTTACGTTGCACAAGGCTTAATTTCTAGGGGAAAAAATGTTAAAAATTAACCATTTAAATTAATTAAACAATTGAAATACGTGACATTATAATATGAAACCATTACTAAAATGTTCCAAAAAACATACCTGCTATTGCACAAAGCTCCGTTTTTGAAATTGCCATTTTATGTGTTTTATAATAATTTTACAACTTTTAATGTATGCAAACAAATAAATGCATTAAACGACAACACCATTTTGATCTAAAGGAATAATCTGAAAAACCAAGCCTTGTGCATTATTAAAATAAAAAGGCATAAATATATATATTGTCTACATCTCAATATAACTGTATCTTTATTATAAGACATAACAATAGACCTTTTATTTTTTCTGTACATCCTGTATATAGTTATCAATGTAAATATTTTACTATATTAATTATTGTAAGTGCATTTTACTAATCTAAACCAAAATAAGCATCTTCCATCTACTTTAAAAAGGCTGGCTGTGGTGCCAAAAGGTCCTCACAGTCAGTGACAATGCTAATACCCATCTTTTCTACACAGTTCAACATGGCTGAGAGGGCTAGGGAAATTGTCAACAACATCATATGTTTACAAATAGTGATTGAAGTGAATAGAAACAATTGCAGCAGCATATGATAGACAGTAATAATTAAAATAATTAATTTAGTACAATATCTGCATTGATACATGTACAGGATACATGGGCATACTGTTTTCATTAAAAAGCAAGAACATCTGCCTATTGATATGCTTAATATTAAAGATATATTTATGTTGAAATGTAGACATATATATATATATATATATATATATTCAGATTTGCGTTTATATACTCAATATTAATAAAAAATGCATTGTGATTTACTATTATATAATTAGAATAAAAAATATTAATTCACAATTTACATTTATATATTCAGATTTGCGTTTATATACTCAATATTAATAAAAAATGCATTGTGATTTACTATTATATAATTAGAATAAAAAATATTAATTCACAATTTACATTTATATATTCAGATTTATAAGTCTATCTTGTTTCGCTTCTGTTTCAGTATTTTTTATTTTTTTTTTATAACCATTTCTTACTGTGTGTAAATAAGTTGTTGTTATTTTAGCATGTGTGTTTAGCAGTGTTATTTTTTAGGATTACTGATAAACTACTGTCGTTTGATTTGTATTATTTGTATTTGTTACTTATTTTAATTTTAGTTAAATTATGTCTGAATTTATTATGTCTGAATTTATTATGTCTGAATTTATTATGTCTGACTTGGTCTTTTATTAAGTTTTAGTTTTATTTAATTTGAGTTATTTTAATACTTCAACAAACTAAATGGAAATGACATAAAATGTATATTGAATTTATATATATGTATGTGTGTGTGGCTGTACATACACATGTTTTTTTTTTTTTTTTTTTATAATCTTAAAAACCAAGCCTTGTGCATTATTATAGGGAATAATATTCTGAATATTTTACAGTTGGTTTAATACCTTTATCTCAAATAGTGTCAGAGTTCAATTAATTTAAGTGGGTACAGTATATAGAACATGACAAATATGGATTCAGTACTGTATATAAAAACAATAAAGGCATAATCTGAAAAACCAAGCCTTGTGCATTATAGGGAATACTATTCTGAATATTTTACAGTTGGTTTGATACATTTATCTCAAACGGTGTCAGAGTTTAATTAATTTAAGTGGGTACAGTATAATAAACATATGAAAAATATGGTTTCAGTACTGTATATAAAAACAATAAAGGTATCAAACAACTGTAAAATATTCAGAATATTATTCCCTATAATGCACAAGGCTTGGTTTTTAAGATTATTCCTTTAGATCAAAATGGTGTTGTCGTTTAATGCATTAATTTGTTTGCATACATTAAAAGTTGTAAAATTATTATAAAACACATAAAATGGCAATTCCAAAAACGGAGCTTACGGAGCGATAACAGGTATGTTTTTTGGAACATTTTAGTATTGGTTTCATATTATAATGTCACGTATTTAAATTGATTAATTAATTTAAATGGTTAATTTAAAAAAAAAAATCCTAGAAATTAAGCCTTGTGCAACGTAAAGGGCATATATCTATGTCTAACTGAGTTAGTTTGGGCTCAAAACATAACAGCCGCAAAGAGTTTAATTGGCAAAAAAAAAAGAATGTCTAATGATTGTTAAACGTCAAACTAACTTTACCGCCTTATTAGATTTTCACTGACAGCCCAAATTTAGCCTTGTTTTAGCCTAGACTTCTGGGCTGTGTTTGGACGGCCATTAGACGTCTTTTAAATGCAAAATTGCTTGCTGAGTGGCAACTCTTTTTTTTTCAAAAACGCTGACGGGGAAAGAGTTAATGATATTTTACTTTTCCTCTAGCTGTAGATAGCGTTATAGTAAAATGGCCGCACAACTACGCAGTTACACAACTATGCTCAACAAGTGCATCTGGGGGATAATTTTAAGTTCGTTTAAAGCAAAGTCCCTTTAAGAGCATTCTGGCAGTTAAAACGGTCTACACACTTAGATAATATAAAACTCGCAGATAATATTTTGTATAGACCAACACGGCTTCCTGTTTCGATATCTTAATTTTTTAATAACGTATATTACCTAAACACAGTTTAATATGAGAGACGACAATTGTATTAAGTAGAATTAGATTTATATGGTAAGTTTAAGAAAGTTTTAAAATGCTATGTAGTTTGCAAGATGCAAATCTTACCTGAACTGTGAGCCATTTTATGACCGACGCCTAAATGTAAAACCGAAAGTCAATGTTTGAAGGCGAAACTTGTCCCGCCCCTTGGCTGGCCAGCCGCACGTATGTGTAGACACAGCCATAGAAAGAGAGAGTGCGTCAACGGAAGTCCAAAACGCTTGATCGTCACGTGATTCATGTAGTAGACTTCAAATATATGGAAGGCCATAAGGACCAAAAATACGTGAATTTCAATGCGTCAACAATGCGTTAAACACGCGTATTTCACGCGTAAACAACACGTATTTAACGCGTTAAATACGTGTCGTTTACGCGTGAAAAATCAGCGCGTTAAATACGTGTATTCAACATGTTAAATACGCGTGAAATACGTGTTAAATACATGTGAAGTACCCGTAAAAAATCAGTTTGAAGGGTCAGTGTCATTGGCTGCTGAGGACTTGGGTCAAACCATTTCTGTGAGCTTAGGGGGGTGTACCATTCATAGACTAGGCAACCACCGTTTAACATGCAATAGATCAGCTTATTCAGCCTAATTATTATTATTATTATTTTTTTTTTTTTGTATAGCCTATAGAAATAATGTATATAAATTGCAGTTTTATGAAAAACAAATTTTTCACCACTCATGCCTTTTTTGTAAATAAACACATTAGTGGACATTCTAGCTTTAACAGTGATCAAACTTAAAGGGTTAGTCCACCCAAAAATGAAAATTTGCCTGTGTTTTACTCACCCTCAAAGCATCCTAGGTGTATATGTCCTTCTTCCCCAACATGTGTATTTGTGGTGATATCATGAAGTAATCAAAAGTTACAGCATTTGGAACCAAGGTAGCCCTTATCTTAGCCCTTTACAGTTTTGAAATTGTTGTTTTGAATTTGAAGTAATGCCTCACTCAAGTTTAGTCAAAGTCTCAAATATTATATAATTATACTTGTTCCCTTCATGGGAACTTTGAACGGTGTCCTCTAGGGGTCGCTATGGGGAACGCCTCGTCGTGACCCGTGTCTGAAGCATACATTGAAAAAACACCAACTCATTGGCCGGCGACAGCCATGACGTCACTACCGGTGCGACTATAGTATAAATAGGCGCCGGGAGCACACATCATTCTCTTCTTCGTCTTCATTGACTGTTTTGCTTGAAGTGTGCATTTCTGTGGTAAGAGCGATCTATTCATCTCATTATGGCGAGCACTAGCAAAGCATTTAAGGATGTGTGCATCAGTGTTGACGTTGCTTAACATCTGATG